GCATTTTATTTTAACATTTTTACTTTAACGTTTTTTTATTTTGCCAGAAAACATTGCTAGAAAATTGTTCCAGAATGGTACAATAACATAGAAAATAAAAGCAAGCTGTAAATCTTTTGGCACTATTTTTGATCAAATAAAACACTGAAATGATTGTTTGTTAGTGAAATATTTTACACCACATTGATTTATGCCATAAAACCTGGTCATTTTCAGGAATCGCTTTAATAATCAATAACCTTACTGGCGTGTCTGATGTTGCTACTTGCTAGGAAGTGCTTGTCTGAGCCTGCAGTTGGGTCTCAGTACCTGCCGCTTCACCCAACCAAAGCAGGTGGCACTGTCTGAGAAAACGATAGGTCTGAGCGTGCAGTTGGGTCTCCGGGCCTGCAGCTCGTCGCATGTGCCGTTGTGCACACTGGTGGTGGTGTGGAGAGACCCCGCTCATGATAGTGAAGATGTATGGCCATACACTAATACATGCACTAAATACAGTAAATACAGATTACATTACATATGCTTCACTAGCTATGTTTCTATCCAGAGATGCTAATTATATTCGTGTGCAAAACTAGAATATTGCATAAAACATTTACGAATAAAACATTGTTTCTATACAGTGAGTCAAAGAGAACTAAATTATCACGGTCTAATGAACCAGCGCGAAATATCAAATATCTAATTTGCTGAGGTAGAAGAATTACATTTTTACGAGGTGTCCGTGGGGTTGTAAAATGTAGTAAAAGATAGTAAATGAAATAAGCCAACATTTAGGGCAAAAAGTATTAAAAGTAATAAACATCATCTGACGAGGAAGTACATTTTCAAGGCCAATTATTAAGAGAAATTTTCAGTTTGTACTAAATGCAGGTCTTTATTCTAAATTTTGCGTGTTTTCTGAGAAGGTGCCTGAATTTCGATGCGTTGCATTAACTGCGTGTTCAGCGCAAATGTACGCTAAATGTAAAATCGAACACTGTACACATCATCCCCAAAGAGGCTCGCCTTTAATAAGTTTAAACTGAAACTGCGGCTCATAACAAAGAAATGTGCCAGTAGTCATCGTAAAAATCCTGCTCGCCTGCTTTTTTCCACAAACACAGAAAAATGTAAATCAGCTCATAACCAGACTGAGCATTTAAATTGACACAAACCCAAACCAAAACTTTTAAGGAGTGATAGAAGTGAGACTTTTCTTGCTTTGTTTTGTCCATTTTTTCTTGAGATGTATTTTATATTTATTTACTGATGACTGCTTTGCAGCTTTCAGCCTTGTATTGAATGATTTATTCTAATCTTTCGTTTGTTTTGTAGCAGAAATATTATTTATTAAATTGACATGCGTATAAAAACAATAATGCAAAATAAGCATTTCTTACTGCAGTGCTTCAGTGTTTTTTTGATGCTAAAATCACTGCTAAAAAAATCACAACAACTTAGCGGCTGTATATCATCAAACTGGAAACCACCCAGCACCTCTTTTCATGTTTTATCAGAAATGAAAGTTGTTTTGCCCCTCTCAGCTGCTCTGGCTATTTTGGTCTGGTGGTTTTCATCTTCCATGCTGTCATACCTGAACGTCTCTCTTTCTCTCTCATGCTCTCTTCTTTCTCATTTCCCCCTCACTCGCTCACTGTGTATTCAATTAAAATGGCAATATGATGAAAAATTCCATCTCGACAGAATGTGTTGCTTCAGTAATCTGTCTGCAGTTTGCGTACCGACTGGACAGGAGCTCCATTCATCTTCCACAACCTTCGTTTCAGCATAATCACAATCCTTTTTTTTTTTTTTTTTGGCCACAGGAATTTAGGCTACGGTTGTGCAATATGACAATATATGTGACAGTATATATATATTTACTGTATATATATATATATATATATATATATATATATATATATATTTATTTATTTATTTATTTATTTATATGTGTGTGCGTGTACAGAGCTCAGTATGTACACCCCTCACAAATCTCTCATTTAAATTAATATTTTTTACAGGAAGCTTTACAATATTATATTTATTTATATGCATTAATAGTCAGTACTGAAGGCAAATCTGCAGCTAATCCAACTAAGACCACGGTCCAACAACTAGTACACCCAAATTTACATGTTAGAGGAAATATTTTTTAAAAAGTAAAAAAGAGCAAAGAAACAAAAAAGTTTAGAAAATGTTGTTACAGTTTTGTAGGTTGTAATTTTATTTTCCAATATTTTGCATGAATTTAAATGCAATAACGTTCTATTTCTAAAGATTTTTGGTGACTAAAATATTATTTTAATAAATGTGTCTGTTTAATAAATCTATTTTGTTCAAATGTAGCAAAAATATGACCTATATTGAACTGAGAAATGGATAAAAAATATAAATTTTCAAAAATGGGCTGTACTCATTTATGCTTTTTTTTTTTTTTTTTTTTTTGCTTTGGTTTGGTTTGTTTAGAGTTTTAGTTTGTTTTGTTTTGAGTTTTGTTTTTTTTGTGAGTTTTGTTTAGTTTCTTGCTTTACTTTGTTTTGAGTTTTCGTTTGTTTTGTTTTTTTGCTTAGTTTTGTGATTTGTTTTGAGTTTTGCTTTGTTTTTGGTTTGTTTGTTTGTTTGTTTGTTTGTTTCTGTTTTGAGTTTTGGTTAGTTTTTTGCTTTGTTTTGCTTTGTTTTGTTTTTATGCCTTCAACTTGAGTTTTGGTTTGTTAGTTTTCTTTTTTTATGTTTTGTTTTGTGTTGTTGTTTTTTCGCTTTGATTTGTTTTGAGTTTTAGTTTGTTTTGTTTTTTGATTTGTTTTGTGATTTGTTTTGAGTTTTGCTTTGTTTTTGTTTATTTTTTTGTTTTTTGAGTTTTGAGTTTTGGTTAGTTTTTTGCTTTGTTTTGTTTTGCTTTGCTTTGTTTTGTTTTTTTTTGCTTTCAATTTGAGTTTTGGTTTGTTAGTTGTTTTATGTTTTGTTTTTTGTTTTGTGTTGTTGATTTTTTGCTTTAGTTTGTTTTGAGTTTTAGTTTTTTTTTTTTGTGCTTTGTTTAGTATTTTGCTTTGTTTTTGTTTTCTTTTGTTTATTAATTCATTACAGACTGCATTTGGATTTCAGCATTTGCCTTCAGTGCAATCAACTCAATGTTTAGCAGTTAGTGCTAAAGACTAAATGCAAATATTCTCATCCAAAATAAAGGTTTGTTTAATACCTGATTTATTTTTATCTTTGCCATGATGACAGTAAATAATATTTTACTAGATATTTTTCAAGGCAATTCTATACAGTTTAAATTGACATTTTTTAGATTATTTTAGATTAGATTTAACTTTATTCTCACTACAATGCAATGAAATGCAGTTTAGGTCTAACCAGCAGTGCAATAGTAGCAAGTGCAGGATACAGGTATAAGTTATAAAGTGCAGTTATAGAAAAAACTATGGTGATATTTACAGATGAATGTACTATGGACATTATTCATTAGCTATGAACAGAGATTTACAATAAATAAATTTATGTACAGGTTGTTATTAATAATCAGAAGAGTGCGGATAAATAAACATAATTACAAATGTATATGTGCAGTGGGTATGTAAAGTTCAAATAAGTGAATCGGTGCAATGTAGTGCAATTAATATGTGCAATTTTTAAATGTGCAAATGTTAAATAGTGCAGTGATTGTGAAGAGTATAAGTTAGAGTAGAGAGGGGGTGTATTTGGGGGGCAAAAGAGTCAGTGGGGGGCAGAGTTCAAAAGGGAGACAGCTCTGAGGAAAAAGTTGTTCCTCAGTCTGCTGGTTTTTGTCAGGGGGAGCCTGAAGCGCCTACCGGAAGGCAGGAGTGAAAACAGTCTGAGAGCAGGGTGAGAGGTGTCCTGAAGAATTCTGCGTCGGCGCAGACAGAGTTTCTTCTGGATGTCCTCTATGGCTGGCAGTGTGGTCCCTGTGATGCGTTGGGCAGTTTTCACCTCCCGCTGCAGTGCCTTACGCCCAGAAACAGAGCAGCTTCCATACCAGACTGTGACACAGTTTGTCAGAATGCTCTCTATTGTGCAGCGGTAGAAGTTCACCATGACGGCTGATGAAAGCTGGTTCTTTTTAAGTTGCCTTAAGAAAAATAGGCACTGGTTAGCCTTCTTGACCAGGCTGGAGGTGTTGGTGGTCCAGGAAAGCTCCTTTGAGATGTGGGTCCCCAGAAACTTGAAAGATGAAACAGGCTCAATGGCCATCCCATTGATGTGGATGGGATCATGTGAGCCTGTTCTTCCCTTCCTGAAGTCCACAATGAGCTCCTTGGTCTTGTTGGTGTTAAGGAGCAGATTATTGTCGGCGCACCAAGTGGCCAGATGCTGTATCTCCTCCCTGTAGGCCGTCTCACCTTTGTTTCTGATTAGACCAATCACTGTGATGTCATCAGCAAATTTGATGATGGTGTTGGATCTGTTCGCAGGCCTACAGTCGATGGTAAAAAGGGAGTAGAGGAAGGGGCTCAGCACACAGCCCTGTGGTACACCAGTGTTGAGTGTGAAGGTGGTGGTGCAGATGTGGCCTGATCTAACATGCTGAGGTCTGTTAGTCAGAAGGTCCATAACCCAGTTGCAGAGAGACGTGTCGATATCCAGGTCTCTAAGTTTGATCAGTAACTTGGAGGGTATAACAGTGTTGAATGGTGAGCCGAAGTCAACAAACAGCATTCGTGCGTAAGTGTTTTTATTATCCAGGTGTTTGAGTACAGACTCATGTGCTATGGAGACTGCAGCTTCTAGGCTCCTGTTGCCACGGTAGGCAAACTGATATAGGTCCAGTGTGGATGGCAGAAAGTCTTTTAGATGTGCTAGGACCAACCGCTCGAAGCACTTCATGATGATAGGTGTGAATGCTACAGGGGGGTAGTCATTGGGTTGACTGATTGAATTTACAGAATTAAACTATTTCATGATAAATAACCTTATCCAAATTTGAGATGACTTTTTGTTCTAGGTTTTTTATTTTGCACGTACAGGAAGTGCTGACACTCTTTTCTGTTCTTCTCTAGGTCCAGGAATCACTCAACCCTAACAATCTGGAGTACTGGATGGAGGACATCTACACGCCAGGCTATGATTCGCTGCTCAAACGCAAGGAGGCGGAGTTTCGCAGAGCCAAGGCGTGTAAAATTGGCGCGCTGATTTTCGCGGCCGCCTGCACTGTGATACTGGTCATCGTAGTGCCCATTTGCACCATGAAGTCTTGAGGTTTCTATCTTTATTTTTTCCCCGCCTGTCAGACGGTGTCCGTATCAATGTATTTACAGACACTGGAACAAACATTCGTGGAAATCTGTGCTTAGGTTTCAGCCACCGGCCTTAGTCTTTCCTAGAATGTCGATTGAAATATATCACAAAAAAAAAGAGTTAAGGATTGCAATTTTGACGTGTTTTTTTTATTTATTTACAGTAGTATTTATAACTTGATAAATTATGTAGTAGATGGCCTTACTTGTAGGCTCAAAGATGCACCCTTGTTTTATAGTCGGGAATATAATATACTGATATGTTTATGTATGTTTTTTTTTCCTCTTCCTGGTATTACAACAAAAACTAAAGGTAAAGCTTTATGTTTAAGCGCATTATATTTTTTACTTTAATTATGAGAATTTTAACGAGAGTTATTTTTTTGATGAATACGCCGACAGAATGTTTTAACAATGATTTGGATTTATCATTGGAAATTGCTGGAATGTTTGGGCTCGTGCAATGCCTTTTTATAAGGAATATATACATACATATATTCAGATATAGCGCAATGATTGACATCACGTGCGCATTCAGTGAACTTTAAAGGAATGTTTCACCCAAAAATATTAATTCTGTTTATTATACATTTACTCTCATGTTGTCCCTCAAACGTATGATTTTTTTTGTTGTTGTTGTTGTTGTTGGTTTTATTACTCACATTTTCTGCAGCCATACTACAAAAAACACTTATATGCGAAATGCCTGTATATCAGCACTGGTAGGAGGCGTACATTGGCTCGAGGCCACAGGCCTAGTGCCTTAGTGTCCCAGCAGTGCCGATATACAGCTATATCGCACTGCTGCGAGTGTGATATTGCTTTTATACAACAGTACGACAGCAGTATTGTGTATATAAAAATGAAAATCAAACACTGAGATTCTAAAAACTCTTTTGTATGAGGAACTACTTTCTTCCGCCATTCATTTACATCTGCAGCCGACATCAGAACAGTAGAAACCGTTGCTAATTCACCAACATCCCTTTAGAGCTAGTGTTTGAATGATTCTCTAATGTTATATCTAAAGTGATGAAAAAACAGCAGATTTTGGTCACATTTTAAGATTGTAAGTATATATATATATATATACTGAAGATTTCATATTCGTATGCTATTGTGACGAAAAAATACACAATTCTTCAAAAATGATACATCAAAATCATACAGATTTGAGAAAAAAAAACATGAGGGCAAGTAAATAATGACAGAATTGTATTTTTTATGCAGTTTTGCTTAATTTAAGGGGTTTTGATTGTACAAATGGGTTTTGAGGACAGTAAAATGACTCTATTACTGCTGTTTAATTGAATTGTTTGAATAGTAACACGTGACTTTATTTCCTTCAGATCGGTTGCTTATCAATGCCAATACAGCTCTTCAAAACTGACTATATCATAGTATGTAGCTGCTTTCTCTTTGATTGTGATCATACTTTGCCTTGTTATGTCATAACAAATCATAATATACTTGAATTGCCAAATCACTAGCTCAGTTTTTTTTCTCTGAACGTCGAATGTTTATTTTTCTTGCACTTATTCTCCATACCAGTGTTTTGAACACCCGAAAAATTGGACTTGACAAGGAAAAACTGTGAACTTCCCTTAATGATGTTCACTTCTGGCACCCGTAGTATAAGTGATACTTCTGAGAAGTCAAGCTGTGGGGCCGTGAGTGAAAACCGCCTGTTAGTCAGAAACAATATTTCAGCTCTTACACTCAGACGATGTTAGAAAACTAATGAGCTGCCTTGCATGTCTGCCGCCTACATAGGCAGCATCCTAATTGAATTAAGTGTCTGACTTGGAGTGCTCTAAATAGGACGCAACTGTGAGCATCACTCATTCAGTCAGTCCAGTGGAGTTTGCCATAAGCTGCCTGTACAGTACAGTAAAGTACAGTTGAAGTCAAAATGTTTAGCCCTCCTTAACCAACCCTAAACCCACCCGTCACAGTGCTAAAAATATTAATTGTCATACAGTGTCATAAAAATGCTACTATAATTGATGTACATATCGGCCGCATATCCGATCTAAACTTTACCCACTGTACCCAGAGTGTTGGAAAATTTTTACCCTGGCCTGATATTTTTAGTCATCCAAAACTTTTGTGTACATGAACAACAAAACGCATAGAAAAAACAGTTGCTTTGAAAATATCTGTGTCCATGTGGACAGGGCCTAAATCTATAGGCCAGGGGTCACCAAACTTGTTCCTGGAGTACCGGTGTCCTGCAGAATTAGCTCCAACCCTAATCAAACACACCTAAACAAGCTAATCAAGGTCTTACTAGGTATACTTGAAACATCCAGGCAGGTGTGTTGAGGCAAGATGGAGCTAAACCCTGCAGGGACATCGGCCCTCCAGGACCAGGATTGGTGACCCCTGCTATAGGCCCTATAATCCCAGTGTTGTATGACACAGCAGAATATATTCATCAATAATTGGAAATTTCTTTCGAACCCAATCAGTGCATCATTGTACAAAGTGAGCTTCTGAGCAAACTCCAGAAAAGTCTCCATATGGAGATGGAAAGGTCACACAAATGTATTCGACACACCACAGCCAGTTTTATGTCTTTGTTGTGTGTGTGTTGTGCAAAAAAATGCACACAAATAATGCTTTATTCATCGATAGTATGTCCCTGTAAATATCAATAATGTGAAAAGGAGCAAATGTTGTTGGTATCACACTGACCCATGGCTTTCAATTTACAGAAGCTGCAGTCAAACGTATGTTGTTTTTTTGTGAAAATTTGGGCTGAAGCATGTGTTTCCAATGAGACGGTGTTGCTTTTAATGGTGTGTTTACACTTGTATTTTGGTTCTCATGTACTTAATTTATTTATTTATTCATTTATTTATTTTATTATTTTTTTACATAAAGATACAGCGCTAAGAATAGCGTTTATGATGATATAAACCAACCAAACCTAACACTGTTTGCTTGACTGAATGCTCTAGCTGAATATACATATGGGTGATGGTATCCCGGCAGGCACCTACATGGCAAAAAAAAAAAAAAGAAACTCACTAAAAACCATGTAAAAATGCTAACCGATTTGATGTCAGTTGACTACCCAGATCGACATCAAAAAAATGATTACAAAATTGATCTGTCATTGGTTTTTTATGTTTTTTGTTTTGCCAATCCATACAAAATCCATTGTAATTTTGTAATTAGCATTTAAAGCTTTCAGAGGAATAACTCTTTTATTATAGTATAATACTTTTTTGGATCGTTATTTTGATGGTTGAACCTAGGATCCAGGAGGAACAATGCGGTTTTCATCCAGGCCGTGGTACACTAGACCAGTTCTATACCCTCACCAGGGTG